CCTTAGAGCTGGCACCCCTACATTCCCCTCAGTGCCTATTGGTAGGCAACTAAGCTTGGTCCTGTCACCTACTTTGGCCTTTGAGAGAAAACACATTGGGGCCAGTCCTGATAGGGTTGCCAACTCCAGATGGGAAATTCCTGGAGATTTGAGGGATGGAGCCTGAAGAGGGTGAGGTTTGAGGAGGGGTGGGACCTCAGACAGGTACACTGCCATAGACTCCACCCTCCAAACCAGTCAGTCCCACATAGGGAACCATTGTTGCCAATCTCCAGGTGAGGGCTGGAGAGCACTCAGAATTACAACTGCTCTGCAGAAGGGAGGGCAGAAGTCAGCTGAAGTCAAAGGGGCAGATAATGGTAGGCTGATGGTTAGCTGGGAAGGAGATGGGGTTGCCAACTACATGCTGACAAATTCCTGGGGATTTGAGGGGTGGAGCCTGGAGAGGGTGGGGTTTGCAGAGGGGTGGGACCTCAGACAGGTAGAATGCCATAGACTACACCCTCCAAACCAGCCACTTTGTCCTGGGTAACAATTGCTGCCAATCTCCAGGTGAGGGCTACAGATCACTCACAATTACAACTGCTCTTCAGGTAGCAGAGATCAGCAAATTGACACTGTTTGCCCAAAGCCAGAGCACTCCCCCAGAGCCTCTTTCTAGATCTCGTTGTATTGCTTTCACAACGGGCTTTACTGCTAGTTTAGGAATACTCTGCTAAGCAATGAATTCTTTCCAGTTGCCATTTGGGAAGTCATTGACTTCTTGTCACATAGAAGGAACCAATGGATTCCAACAGACATTATGTGACATTCATTTTAGTATGTTCTTATTTTACATTTGAAAATACTGATTGGGACTCACCATTAATCATTAGAATTAACATTTGTTTGGCAGCTAAGGAACTGTACTGGAACTTCAAACCCCTAGGTTGAAATCCAAACCCTAACCCTAACCTACTTCAGAGGATAACACAGTCTTGGGGCATCTTAAATGGTTCTACACTTATTGTTGCATAAATCAAAACTCACTTTTGTTAATCACCAGGGATGAAGCTGGATAAAATTGGGGGGGGGATGTATGCTGCTTCGAATTATTTGAAGAGAGAGATTAAAAATAATTCATAAATGTTTGGTATTGTTGTGTAGATCATCCCACCACTTTAAAGCCAACATCTCAGAAACCAAGTTATCATTCTTGAAGCCATAATTTGATGTAAAAATGTTTTAAATGAGATACTAAAAGCTCAGTCATACAAGCTGATAATGCAGCATGAGTGGAAAAGGATTTCGGAAAGTTAATGGTAAAATTGCTAATTCCAGGATGAGATAACCCTGGAGATCTAGGGACAGAGCCTGGGACGGGCAGAGTTTGAGCTAGGTAGCTCAGCGGGAATGCTATACCACAGATTTCATTCTCCAGAGCTCTTAATTCCCTCCAGGGGAACTGATTTCTGGATTTCACTCGTAATTCCGGGATATCTTCAGACCCCACCTGGATGTTGCCGAGCCTAGTTAAAGCACTTCTCTACTGCGACTGCGGCTACGATGCACAGATCTCCTCGGCCTGTTTCTCATACCGGCTTCCAATCCCTCTTGCCTGGAACGCGCAACTTGAAACGGAGAGAGGAAATTCAGACAATGCCGGCTCTCCATTGGTAAACCACTGCCCTGCCCATCTCCTTCATTGGATGAAGAACCAACGAAGAAGTCATTCTATGAGTGACAGCCGGCTAGCCCAATCAGGAGAAACATTAATCCCAAACGACGTTCCGAAGGGTAATGCATCAGAGCCAATGAGGGGCGGAGAGTTGCCGGGGTTTAACCGGGGGGGGGGGGGGGGTGGGCAACATGGCAAACAAGCCCTGAAACTCGTGCCTTGGAGTTGGGGCGGATGCGGCGTCCTTTACTGGAGGGGAGTGCTGGGACTTGGTGGCAGAGCTGGGTAAGATCTCCTGTGCGGTCCGTAAAGAGTTCTTCTTTTGCCGGCTTCCTGGTTCAGGGGATTTCATTCCCGCAGCTGAATCAGTGGGAAGGGGGTGGAGGCAGGCAGCTTACCCAGGCCGTGCTAGGAGAAGCCTCAGCGTGGAAGTTCCCTCGTCTGTGAGCGGGGTCCGTTTTGAGGACGGATCCGTCTCTGGGCCTGTTTTTGTGGGAGTGGATAATCCCAGAAACTGCGAAGGCTTCCTCTTTTTAGAAGTGATGATCTGATCCGCTAGCTGCTCCGTCGGAGTGGGCCCCTCTTCTCAGTATCTCTCGGAAAGGCTGTCAGCTTAGCTCTTACTGCTGAAAGGAAATTCTACCACTTCCGTGAACGGGGTTTTTAAATTGTTTTATAGCTGAGGAAGCGGAAAATGTATTCCACTGTAGCACGAGATATGTATAGTGTGCGGTGGGAAGCAAATTGTGAGGCGGGGCAGTCGAAATATGAACTGAACTTTCGCCTTCCTGTGACAGCTGCATTTCCCGGCTGTAGGTTCAAGGTGTTTAGATGGCCTATTTGGAAAGTGTGATTGGTTGTGGCTTGTGTCCATGCGCATGATCATGTTACACTCTCCTGTTGTGTGGTCTCCATGTTAATTCTTTTGCAGAGATGTTCCCTCTCGCCAAGGAAGTTTGTAGTGTGTAAGCAAGATGCAGGAGTTGGTAAAAGAGACTTGTATACAAAATACACAGATTTTGGTTTGCATACAAAATACAAGTTCTGAGATTGCAAATACGAATCAGTAATTACATGGTATGCTCTGGTGCCCAGGGATATAAGGTACCAGTTGTGTGGAAAAGTCCTGGAACATGGTAGTTTGCCCCAAGCCATAACACGTGCCTTTATTTCCGATCAGGATTTTGGAATGCTTCAGATTTGTAGTGCAAACAACATGTCTGACATCATAGTAAGAGCAATTATTTTAATTTCAGTATATTTGATAGGAAGCTGAATCTAAACAGCTTTTCTAGTACTGATTGGGTCCACCCTTTCTTTAAAAGCAATGAAATAAGAATCTAAATGTACACCTGGCACCTCAAACCTGCTGATCTCAGTGAAACTCACAAATACATTTTGAATGGTTTCTCCTCTCTAAACACTGTTTGGGAATATCTAATCTAGCAGCCATTACAAAGTAAGAAGGGTGGCTTCTTAATAGGTGTTGTCCACTAAACACTGTTTGGGAATATCTAATCTAGCAGCCATTACAAAGTAAGAAGGGTGGCTTCTTAACAGGTGTTGTCCACCATCCCAGGTGGGTATATAGTAAGACTACAACGATGACAGTGACATGATCTAGTCCGAGGTGAATGTTCAGCAACAGTATGGGACCAGTCTTTACAGACTGTCATAGGCCCTGTTCACACGGAGCATTTGCTGCGCTGAAGGCACAATCGTCCTGCGGATATTTCAGGCGCGATCACACCGGAACATCTGGGAGGCATAGCGCACCCGTGGCTAACCCGTGGCTTCTCGCCAAAGATGCGGAGTAAAAAACTACCACATACGAGGTACTAGTTTCTGGAAAACGTGGGGCAAGGGCGGGCGTCTGATCGCGTTTCTGCGTGAATCCTGTGGCATTCGGCGCCCGTCCATGTCCCGTTGCAAACCGGATGTTTTTTTTTAAGAGAAAAAAAATGTCCCGTTTGCCACGGAAGCGGCGCCTAGCGATTGCCGGTGTGATCGTGCCTCGCAGCTTCTTTGCCGCGCTGCAGGATAGCCGTGTGATCAGCACCTAATGGCCTAACCATGGGATCTCAATGGGACAGCCCCGCTTTCTGTGCCCTGGGGCTAACAACCCCGCTTCCCCCCCCCCCCCGCATTTTCCGGCCCATGTGACCGGGACCAAAGTTACTCCCAATAGACTGTGTCCTTGATATCATGTTAAGCTGTATGAGCACAGTCCTTGGTTTTTCAAAAGGAAGGCAGGCCTGTTTAGGAGTATTGCCTCCTACCTTAAAAGGAAGCTGCTTCATAATCCTGAATGTGAGAAAACAATCTTGAGTAGTTCATTAATGAGGACAGCCACTCTCAGGGTAGATGCAAGACTAACAACACCCATAAGTTTGTTCTGCCAGTTGAATCAGTGGTGAGAAATGGCCTATATGGAGAATGAAATGGTGGTGTGTGTTGTATATCATAGTTGAACCTGTGAAGCACCAGTGCAGGCTGAAGCCCCCAATACCTTTGTATTTCAGAGTCTGCCTGCAATATGTGAGGGGACCAGACGATATCTAGTTCTACAGTAACCACAAGAAGATACCTTAAGCATATGATACAGCTTAGGCACTTACAAGCTACTGCAGACAGAGGATCAGGTGGACTGAACTGAGGTGCTCGGACTCCCATGGGACTGTGCTAGTCCCCATGCTGATTTCTGCTAGTACAACAGAGTAGAATAATCAGCAGATGTTGTGTAACACACACACCTGTGCTCTCCAGCAAGTTTCTGCTGAGGTACTTTCTCCCTTAATTCTGTGTCTTTTAATGCTGAATACAAATAGTAGTTCCTTGAAAGAACCAATGGCAGTTTGAAACAGATCAGTGCACAATGGTATATTTTCCCCATGGTCAACAGACTTTTCAAGATTTTGTATTGTTTGAAAAACCCACAAAACCTACTTGACCAAAGTCAGCATAGGGACAAAAAATTTTTTTTTAAAAATCACAGGAAACAAAACCTCCTTCTAGTCATTTTAATTCTCTTAAAGCTACTCCAGCATAAATGCAGGCATATATAGAGCTCTCATTGTCAAACTTGATACAATGCTTGACACAATGAATATGTTTTGTGTCAAGCTTAATTCTTTCATTTCCTCTTAGTTTTGCATTCTGTTTTTTGCCTTTTTCAAGTTTTGTAGTGGTTCTTTGCTGAGAAAAGGCAAGCCTCTGTATTGGGGGTTTTATACATAGAACATAAATAACAGATCTCTGCAGGGAAAGAAAGTTAAGCTTTTGTGCACAGCTTTTGTTCTGTTAACTTTAAGGTACCTGAGTATCCTGATAACATTTTCTTTAAGTTATAGAGTAAAGTACGACTTTACTTTTAAAGATAGAATATTGAGGAAATGCTGGTGTATTGGCAGATCTATCTGGCTTAAAGGAAGCAGAATAAGCTGACTTTATCAACTGAAGGGGAAATAAGATTACTGCAATGTAGAATGACTAAATGGGAACATCCAAGCTAGATAATTATCTGAGCTTTAAATAGAATCCAGGTCTCCTGACTTTCAGGAGCTTTCTAACTTTGGGGCAGGGGAGGTACCCAAAATAATAATTCGGCTAAAGAAAATATGTGTGAAAGGAATCAGAAGCTTCAGGAAGAACATTTTGAAATTTACTGTATCTGGGACAGCCCCGGTACGTGTGTTGTCATCATTCCTCTGTATTAAACGACCTCAGCAGCAGCATTGTGTGCACATGGTATGTTCCAAAAATATCTGCGGATATTTCCAAGGGGAAGATGTGTTCCCAGATCGACTTGGGGATTTGCCTGGATGCCAGGTGTATTAGGACCCCAGGGAAGTGGGGAAGGAACCCTGAATGCTGCGCCATCTCATGATTCTCCGGTCATCTACAACCCCACTCTGTGGTCTTTGGCAACCTGCAGGCAGCTGTAGCTAAATGCACCAGCACAGCATCATACTTCTTCTCCTTTTTAGCTTCCTGAAAGAATATGGGGAGGAGGTGCTTAATAGCAGTTACTGCTTACCCAGAAGCATTAAGGGCAGAAGCAGGAAAGCAGCAGAAGTGAGCATAGGATGGTTGCCAGGCAATTATCTCTCTGCAGTACCTTCTCTGCCCTTTCTGCTTCCTGGAGAGAAGCAGTAAGCTTAATTAAAGAAAGCAGCAGCATTTGCAGTGGAGGAGACCACAGGGGCCACATCCAGGCAACAGCAGGATTTCCTGAATTGTTGTCCATAGTATTCATCCATTAGTGCTGGATCTGGAGCTGATGCATCTGCAGCTGATGTCTCCGTGACAGGTACTCCATATAATATTTGCAGAGTTTTTTTCAAGTAGGCATTGAACTTTCTTTTCTTTTAGAGGATTGTATATACCAGTGATGGTGAACTTTTTAGAGACCGAGTGCCCTAACTGCGACCCAAAGCCCACTTGTTTATCGCAAAGTGCCAACACGGCAATTTAACCTGAATACTGAGGTTTTACTTTAGAAAAAACAACTCGTATATTAACTTAAGGTGATCCAAACACAGTAAGGAAAGCAATCCCAAATGTTTTCATTTACTTAAAATTATTTGGCAGAGAATTCTACACTTTAGTGATGGTCTGGGCCTGGCTGGGACGATGGCACGCGTGCCCACAGAGAGGGCTCTGAGTGCCACCTCTGGCACCCGTGCTATAGGTTCACCACCACTGGTATATACTGATACATCTGGTCACATCTGGTCCATTTGTAGCAACCGAGTACACAGCATGGCTACTCTCTTATCCCCTCCAAACCTTACACAAGCAATCATTGTCCTCCGCCTCCATTGCTGCCAAGATCTTTTGCAATAATCCTAATGTGGAGGGGTGTACATGGGGCAGTGAGTGGCTCAAGCCACTTGAGTGGGAGCCTAAACAGAGTTTCTGACTGTCTCTCCGTGCAGAACATGGAATATGACCCTCCAATTTTCAAAGCTGCACAACTTGGTTTTGCGTGACTTTCTTCCTCATACGTTCTGCTCTGCAGGTGATTGCCCTGAAGCCCTCCTTGGGGAAATAAGAGGCAGCTAACATGGCTATGATTTAGTGTCCTTTAAAAGGACTCCTTTCATGAAAGCATATTTGTCCTGAGCCTGATTTTACACCCCTTCACTCGCACACACAAACAGCTTGCTGTACTGTCATCCCGAAAACCAGCGTTATAAATGTAAAAAAAGGTAAAGGTTCCCTTGCTCGAAAGCCAGTCGAATCCGACTCTAGGGTTGCGGTGCTCATCTCCGTTTCAAAGCCGAAGAGCCAGCGCTGTCCGAAGACGTTTCCGTGGTCATGTGGCCGGCATGACTAAACACCAAGGCGCATGGAACGCTGTTACCTTCCCACCGAAGTGGTACCTATTTATCTACTTGCAATTTCTTGCTTTCGAACTGCTATAACTGATAGTTCTATTATTTCTTTGTTGTATGACACGTATTACATGAGACACAAATCCCTTCTATGCTATGCTTGCAGCATGACCCCTCTTTTCGAGAAAAACAGCCAACAATCTGGTTCAGCCCTCTGATGCACTGCTTTTTCTTATACTTAAAGTATGAAGCATCTTATTTCTATGCTGCTGCTTCTATCTAAAAACACAATCCTAGGACATAATCTCTAGTGCATGCATGGCTTCTTAGAAGTGACCCTTCACAAGATCACACTTGAGAAGTCACTCATTAGGTGTAGCCATTGAAGCAAAAGTGGGGGGCAGGTGGGGGAAAATAGACACCAGGGAGGAATTGAGGCATCTGAAAATGGTTATAGCAGAAAAGTTGAAGGTGCAGAGGTACTGATGATGGTGGTCCCATGCTTGCCTTGTACACTGTACTCTGGGCACCAGGCTCTGGGGGTGGGTGAGCCATCTCCTCTTTACTGGTTTACATGATTGTTACTCATTTCCCCTTTTTGATCCAGACTGGCTTTGTTCAGGCAACGTCTCTGTGAGTTGTAAATGGTGGGACTAGTAGATAGAGAGGTGGGCTAGAGTGCTCAATAGCAAAGGCTTAAATAGAGTAAGGCAATCTGACCAGCCAAGGGTTGTTAGAGTTCAAGAGATCTCTCAAACATTTGTTCAGGTTACCACTGGTGCTGGGTCAGGTATGGAAAGCCAGGAACACACACACCAGGGGCTGGGCCTGGAAAGGATGTTGCACAAGCAGCTACTGCTTCTTTCTTTTTTGTACACCTTCCTGCTATCTTATGGTGCTGCTGGTCAGGCTTCATCCAGTGCCAAGTGAAAATGCCACAGCTGTTTGCACTCATTCAGCACTGTTTGGTTGGCAATCAGGCCTTGAATCCAGGCGAGTGCTTTACAACTTCTAAATGGCTCCTCATTAGTTCTTGCAAGAGTGCCTCATGAATGGTTCAGCATCTAACCCAGGGATGTGGAGCACACAGAGGGTCCCACAGCAGGTGGCAGGCCATCTCAGGGTTCCATGGAGAGCTCTGACGGGGTCTGTTCTGCTGCCCTCTGGGTCCCCATTGTGTGATAACTCATATGCCTGCCAGTGCTTGACGAACCAAATAAATCTCATGTTTTGCTACAGAGTGTGCTAACTTCTGAAGCTGTATTGGGTTAAATCTTGCTCTCGATACAGTTCCAGAGCAACATTCGAGATGCAAATACTGCTGGTTGTAGTGTCTCGGTGGCCTATGATGACTGGAAACCAGGTTTAGTATAGTTAGTTCCAGAGGTCATTTCGGTGGGATTGCGGGGATGACAGGCCCCCCGTGTGAGGGACAGGGGGGGCACATGAGGAAGCCCCGCCGCCTGCTTCTGGCCGCCCCGCTTCCGGCCCTCATTCAGCCAGGAGGAGGCAGGAGAAGAGGGAGGGTAAGTTGCTTCCTCCCTGCCTCTCCCCACCTCTGCCTGCCTGGGGCCAGGGAGGGCCTTCGCGGGGCTTCCTTGCACTCCCGCCGGCCTTGCAGGTCCACCGCCCGGCCCCTCATGGGGCTTGGCAGTGGAGCTGCAAGGCCGGTGGCGGCGGCCGGGACCGTTGGGGGCAGGGTATGTGGCCTTATGACGCACTTCCGGTGATGTCAGGGGGTATGGCCTTATGACACACTTCCGGTGATGTCAGGGGGTGTGGCATATGCTAATGAGTTATGCTAATGAGTTCCCCTAGCTCTTTTTCTACGAAACGACCCCTGGTTAGTTTTAGCTGTGTCTAACTGTTTCTTACTTTTCTTTTCTCCCCTTACCTCACTTGCTGTTTTAAGGTGTTTGTGAGTCTTTGATGTAGCCTCACAAGCTTTTCTGTGAGGGAGGGAGCATGATCACCTTCATGAACAACTCTGACAGTGAGGAGGAGACCTGCAATGAGAGGACGTCCCTGATGTCAGCTGAGAGCCCCCTTGTACCTTCTTACCACGATGGTGTGCAAGCACCTGAAACGGCTGAAACGCACACACACAGGGTAGGTCCGCTCTGCTTCTGGAAGAAAATGCTGATCCAGTTCTCTGTGCGGGGAGATCCTCCTATGTAGATATTCTTTAATTACTCCCATGGAAGAGTAGAAACATGGGCTGGGGAGCACCCCTTGGGTGGGTGGATTTGGCCTGGAAGCTGACAGCTAACTAATCCCTACTGTGTATTCTCCTTGCAGAAACGGCACGTTGGCAGCAGTCACAGCTCCAACAAACCTGCAGATGGCAACATGTCTGACTCAGAAAGAGCTCCGGCAGAACCCATTGCCCCAGATAATGAAGAGGAAGAGCTGACCTTAAAATATGGAGCAAAACATGTGATCATGCTGTTTGTCCCCGTCACACTCTGCATGGTTGTCGTTGTTGCGACCATAAAGTCAGTGCGTTTCTATACTGAAAAGGGTGGACAGCTGTAAGTAGTCCTTGACTAACATTAGCGTGCTAAAAATCAGACAGGTGGTGTTCTGTATCTTAGGGCTGTAGTCCCCTGTACAAAAATGCTTCTTGCAGTTGATGCTGTGCACTTGGGAAAAGTGAGGGGAAATTTTGAGCTGGGATCTTGAAGGAGCTGGATATTAGCAAATGAAATTGACAAAATATGGAGCTGTTTAGGTGGATGGATGCATGTGTGTTATGTGCTTTTATGCTGTGTTTTATTCTGCTATTTATATTGTTTTGTTTTATCTCCTGTAACTTTATGTAAGCCGCCCTGAGCCTGCTTCGGCGGGGAGGGCGGGGTACAAGATAAATAAATAAGATATTACGGCTTCAGTTATGAAGGGTGTGAGGATGAGAGAGTGTCCTGAACAAAGCACTCAATAAAGACTTCTCAGTCATACTTCTTAATGAGGTGCACAGCTTGTGAGATAACTGAGAGTGGCTTGCAGACAGTGATGGATCATGGAGTATACCACTTTATTGTTATGGCTGAAGCTCAGCTTCTAGTACTTCCATTTTGAACGTGTCAGTGAAACCCTTTCAGTGAATGTGTAGCATCTTTAACAAAGTGACATTGCTGCAGGGCTTTCCATGCTATGGGCAAATAGTAAATTTGTCTGAGAGTTTCAGGTATCCAGCAACTGTCTATACGCTATTACCTCCACTGTTTGCATTATTATAATGGTGAGTTAGAGGTAACACGAGTTGGTGATTAGTGTAGCCCTGATAAAATGGAGACATGGGTAGAGTAGGAGGGTAGCATCACAGAGGTGGGTTTGTGGTATGTGTGTGTGTGTGGGGAAGGAGTGAGAAGTCACCTCCTCGGGTATCCCATACTAAAGGTCAAAGGAAGATGCACACATAGGTGGTTGTGGCCCTGAAGCAGCAAATGCAGATGCCTCTCACACCCCTTTCTAGTGGTAAAAATGTAATAACAACTAACTGAATTGGCAGTCTGCTGTGTTTTAATGGTATCTGAAGGGTCTGATGCCAGAGTATTACTATTACCTTTCTGTTTTGGCCTGGGGTGTTGGGTTCTGTATAATTGCTGCTTTGTCCCATGATTTAATGGGCAAAATTTCTCTTGATGACAAGTGTGTTAGTGCAACCCACCTTTAACAGAGGCGTTGTGGCTCTCTTCCAGGATTTATACCCCATTTACCGAAGACACACCCTACGTAGGCCAACGTCTCTTGAACTCTGTGTTGAACACCATCATCATGATTAGTGTGATAGTAGTGATGACAATCTTCTTGGTTTTGTTGTATAAATACCGGTGCTACAAGGTAAGAATGGTGAATAGATTGAGTAGACCTCTCAGCTGATGAATGTTTTTAATTAATTGGCCTCGGTCTTTTAACTGGTTTTCTTAAAGTAAGAGATGTACATGGTGTGTGCTATAGGGTTCTGTCATGCATTAAAGGTAAAGACAAGTATTAGCAGTCGTAACGGGTACTTGCAGGCTGCCATATGCACATGAATACATATCTGAAAATCAAATGCTGGCTCATCCACCTGCCTTGCTTCTTGCATCATGCTTCATATGGCCTGTGCATTATATCCTATAATACTCAAGAAGGTAATGCAAGCAGCATGATGGGGGCAGGCCCAAGAAAGAGGGGAATGTTGTGCAGGAAGAAAGCTGACCTTTACTGTGTCAAGAGGGACAGAACCCTCCAAAATGAGGAGAAAGCATACAAGTTCTCTTCATGCTGCCATGGAATCCTGCCAACAGGAGGGCAGCACACAGGCTCAAGCTCAGACTTTGCCAGGAGGCTGTTAAACTGAATGGACGTAATTTACAGATTACTTACCATTAGTTACAGGGGGGATTGGGTGGACCAGCGGCGTGGGGGGGGGGGAGGCGAAGTCATGAGCGCTGGTCAGTAGATACTTTCCACAACAACTTTTCCCCCAGCTTAAGTTGAAATTCTGTGTTTTTTCAAAGCTTGCCCTGGGTAGAAAAGATACGTTTGTACTAAATGTGTTGAGAGTCCTTTCAGCGAGCCCTTTATTTGTGCTACTTCCAAAATTCTATTGTAATATTGTTATGTAACTTCTGTGCTTAGGTTCCAAATCAGTGTGTGCTGATTGTTGAACCAAATTTTCTTCCTCAGACCAGGTCTTTTGTCTCAAAATGCCATTGTTCTGTCCTATTTTCCTTTTGGCTCCAGCTCTGAATGACAAAGTTGCACTGAATTTGTATTCATGTGGCATGCTAGTCGTATAGTACCCAACTTGGAAATGGCTTCCTGGTGTTTTAGAAATGGGAGGAACGATAACCTTGTGATTTGGAGGCACAAAGGGCAAATGCCAGCTCTGAATCTTCTTTTGTGTAGTCTGCAGTGGCAAGGAGCAGAGGACAAAAGGAGTGTTGTTGAAAGCAGTTAAAGTCAACATTCAGGATGGGTGCAGAATAAAGTACACCTTTCTAGATCTAATTTTTTGTGGGTTTTCTCAGCCCTTTAAATAATCCAAATTTGGTTTGATAAGAAAGTTGTTTCAATGGGATTGCCCTGATACAAAATTCTGTAAGGGTTCCCCTGCCTCCCTTCTCAAATGGAAGTGAACATGCTGACAAAACAAATTTTTCTTCATTCCAAAATAGGTCAAGAGATTTTATTAGTCTGAGGCATGAAATTGTTGTTCTTAAGCTGACACAATTTAGTGATCTGTTGAGCTGCACACAACTCATTACCCTTATATGGCGGGGTGGTGCTGAGCCTTGATATCACACTGTCCATCTCAGACTGCAAAACCAGAACCCTGCTGCATGGCTGGTGGGCTTTGTCTAACTGGGGGTGTCAACGTTTTTGATTCCTTACAGATAAAAATTGGCAGTTTCTGATTAATACCATGAAGAAGTTGTAGAGTTTGTGGCTCTCAGACTGACTGCTAAACCCCACCCCCCTCCCCTGTGGCAAATTTGATTTTAGGTGGAAGATCATGAGATTTTGTTATTGCTGGTGAATTGCTGAATTTGTATGACCTCCAGGGAATGTTCTAAGGAATGGAAGATAGGGGAGATATCCTAAGATCAAGGAGTTGGAAGCAGTGCTCAGTGATAACATTTTTTCTTTGTATGACGAAATGCAGGCCTTAGATAAGCTTTGGCGTAAACTGTAACCTAGTGAGGGCTATATAGTTGAGTAATAACATTAACAGTGCAATCCAAAACAGAGTTACACCCTTCTAAGTTCATTGAAGTCAGTGGGTTTAGAAAGGTATAACTTTGCTTACACCTTGCACTGTGAAGCTTGAGTACTGTGTATGTTTACTCAGGTGCAAGACCCATTGACATTTGTGGGAATCAGTTCCAAGTAAACATGAATAGGGTCAGACTAAATGATAGTCTAATAAGGCACTAGCAATTAAGTTAGCTGCTGATGTTCTGGCCAAGAAAATATTGAATCAGTGAGGGCAGGGCCTGAGAGAGAAGGGAAGAAACGTGTCTCAGCTGTAGGAAGAGGGAAGTAAAACTGTAGGATTAGGGAATTAAAAGATATATCTGAAGGGCCACGCGGGGAGAAGTCTGAAGAGGAGCATAAGAAGGTCAAAAACAAACCGATCTGATGCTGCCACCGATTTATGCAAAGCTATTTACTGTTTTCTGAACAAAAATATTAAGCCGCATCACTAGGGAAATGTAATGGGGTTGCTGAGAATAAAACAAGATGGTTGTCATTTGTGCCGTTAAGATTTTATAATTGTTTGCATGTGCTGCTTATGGCAATCTGATGTGGTTTTAGGTCAGGGAGATGGACATCTGTGTGCATGCACATGAAAGCTCATACCTTGCATAAACGTTTGTTGGTCTTAAGGATGCCCCTGGACTCTAAATTTATTCATCTGTGTTATGAATTCTGATTCTAGTACTCCGGAGCCTTGCTGCAATCACCCATAAATTTGCCAACCAGTTTTTGTCCAGACTGTTTCTTCTTCTGTTCCCTGCCCATCCTGTCTCCCAGAACACACTTTTCCATGATTCTTGGTTGATGTTGTGTAGCTTCCTTTTTATTCAGTGCTCTAGCCATGACAACCTTTGAAGCCAGATGGCAGGTCTTGGAAAGACAAGGAACTAAAGCACCGAGTAGCATACTCATAAAGCCTGAAACCATAGCAGATTAATGATCTGCGGCATTCTCTGTAGCTCTGTTCAAGCAGCCCCTTACTTTAGAAAGGCAAGGGAGAACAAACCAAGGAACACCTTCCTTGATGTTTTTAAGTGGAGACAGTAATGTCCGTCAGCTTGAAAAAGCCGGTTGTGAAATCCCTCCTGAAGCCGCCACTGCTAAATCCAAATTAACTATAAATCAGTAGCCAATGTCCATTTTTGAGCAAGGTGCTTGAGCAAATGGTGGTCATTTAATGCCAGGCAATTCTTGGATGGATTACCTAAACCTGTTTTAATCTCATTTTGGAATTAAAATTGTAAAGGTCACCAGTCAGGACTACCAAAGGAGTAAATGTCTGGTTCTTCTGGATTTTGCATTGGCTTTTGATACTATTGACCATGGTATCCTTCTGGATTGGATGGTTGAGATGGCCTTAAGGGGAAGACACCACACTCAAGCAAGTCTGTTCCCATCTAGCTGATCAGTGAGAGAAGGTGGATGTTTGGAGGCCCTGTAGTTCTGTCCCCAGTGCTTTTCAGCATCCACATGAAGCTGCTGAGAGAGGTCCTCCAGGGGTTTGGAGTGAGGTAACACCTATATGCTGATGACATTCAACTCTGCAGGTCTGTAGATGTCCTGAATGAATACTAGGAAACAGTAATGAGCTGAATGAAGACTGATTCCTAATCCCCCAATAGCTCAACCACTGAACACCCCAGCCTTGTCCGGATCGTGCTTCAGTTTATCAATCTGATTTTGGTGGGATCATACTCCTGTATGCTGTTTGATCTTTGACTACAGAGGATGGCTCAGATCTCTGTGATCTACCTGTAGCACAATTTACCAACTTTGGATGGTGTCCCAGGTTTGACCACATTTTTCCGTACTCTGATCAGATCTACACTAGGTTACTAGTGGGAGCAGTCTTCCTAGCCTGCCCTGGAATTTCAAATGGTACAGAATGTAGCAGCAAGATTACTGACAGGCATAAACTATATAGGACAGATAATGCTAGTTTTAAAAGAACTGTACTGGCTGCCAGCTGATTTCTGGGCAACAAGCCAAAACTAGCATTTTCCGTTCTAGGTGCCAGGTAACTACTTCTCGCTGTATAGGCTTTGTACTAATTGTTCTTTCTGTCTTGTTTTAGTTGGCCTGTGCTGAAATGGACTTAGGGCATTTTTAAAGAAAGTATCCTATCAAAACTGCCCATTGTACCTTTTATGGTACTATTTTATTCTGCTGTTTAATTTACTGATTTGTGACTATTATTGATTTATGTGGCTTTGTTATATTTTAAATGTTTGGGGCCATGTTTTATGGGAAACAAGGCTAATAAGAAACCTAAATACAATAAATAAATGGTCTTACCAAGAATATCCTTCCATTGAGCAGTTCATTCATGGCTGGCTGATTCTCTCGTCTCTGATGCTGCTCTTCTTGTTCACGTACATCTATCTTGGGTAAGTGAGGACCACTGGTGCTTACCTGTTTTAACAATGCTTTATTCAAGGAATTCTCAGACTTTCTAATCATGATTTTCCTTAAGCTTTTGCCCCTTGGCTTAGCTGAGGTGTAGATCAGTAGTCACTCTTGCACCTGGCACGAACAATGGAGCATTTAGATGGAAAGGGAGCATACATATGTCATCTTCTTGCTCTCTCTTAATTTTATAAATTATCATTATCTTCCTTGCATTAATAATTATTCATACAAAATTTTAACATTGTATTAATACATTGGGTAACTAACCCAAGCAATTGAATGGACTTTATAAACCAGTTATATTTATATGTGATCATAGATATGTCAGCTTTGCTCCATTTTCCTGTCTGGTAATCAGGATTTTCCATAAAGCTGTGACTGGGATTCGATGCCTTGGCATTACCAGCTTAAAAAGGCTCTCAAGTGGCAGGGCTGGGAAATGAATATATGAAGCTGACTTTTGCTGAACCAACTGCATGATCTGTTAAGCTCAGTATTGTCTGCTCTGATCAGCCGGAGGTCTCCAGGGTCATGGGTAGAGGTCTTCCACATTACCTTCTACCTGGTCCTTTTTACTGGAGATGCCACAGATTGAGCCTGGAACCTTCTGCGTGTGAAGCAGATGTTCTACAAGCCATGGTCCTTCCCCATATATAGTTTTCTCTAACTCAGATCATGGAGCACGACTGCCAGTCAGAATAGACCCTGCTGGGCTAGGTAGACCATTGCAGCTTCATATACCCTCTAGTTATCAATCTGCTAGTGATGAATCAGGGCAAGTGCCACATGACCCCCGATCTCTACAGGAACTATTGCCCGTGCATGAAATCTAGGGTTGTTCACACATGCATTCTTATCATTCAATGGCAGCAGAATCAAGCGGTGAAGATTTGCGTTGTGTGAAATATCCACCACTGATGAAATACTGTAGAAAGAGCTTTCATATCAAATAAACATATTTTTTCAGTGGAGGTGCTACAACGGTATAATGAGGTACAGGTGGAGAGTTTGTGGGGTATGAGGAATTTTATCTCTCGTATTGTGCTAGGGAGGTGTACTGGAGCTTCTGAAAGGTGCTTTACACTCCAGAATTTTTGTCTGTTTAGGATCGCACACTCAGTGTGTGTTTGGTTTCAGAGGGCAGCCGTGTTGGTATGCAGTAGAACAGCTCGATTCAAGTGTGTTTTTGCACATGTTTCTATGGCAAGCTTTGTGTCATGTCCATAAAATTGCAAGGTCCTTAATGCACTTGTTTTTAGCAGGCGGCTAGCCATTCTGAACACATATCTGTGAAAAAAACTGATTTAAAAGCGGCTTTTGGCTCTAGAAAACGGGGAATAGCTTGTCTGTCTAAAAGTACCTTTAGCAGCCAGTGAAGAGTGAGGAGGAGAGGTCAGGCGTAAGCTTCTTTCTAACCTCCCTCCACCTTAATTTTTCAATGTATCTTTATTGCGTCTAGGGGAGCCTGGTAATCTCCCCTCACAGGTAAGAAAAGGGTGACTTATGTGGCCGTGGGGCTGTCCCTGAAGACGGCTTCCCACTTACAGCATAGTAGCCATGTTCCAGTGAACGCACATATAGCCTACATGCATATGTGTACACCTGTTTGTAAGAAAGAGCCAGTGTGCATTTGCTTTGTAAATGAAACTGGAGGTCAGTACCTGGATAAATGTGGTCCTTAATTCGCACATTCAGCTGTCCATGTGTTGAATGTAACATGACCATTACTCAGTGTGAATATAAAGAAAAATCAAGTGTAGTCTGTATCTGTATGTGCGTTCAGTTAGTACACACAGCTAGTATTATTTCTACTTTTATGCAGGGCTTTTTTTGTAGAAAAAGCCCAGCAGGAACTCATTAGCATAATAGGCCACACCCAACAGCAGAAACTCATTAGCATAATAGGTGCCTTCCCTTGGCTTGCCCGGGTGCCCTGTGGCTGCGGGGAAGAGAAGGCAGTTTAAACTGCCTTCCCTTGGCTTCCTCAGGTGCCCTGCGGCTGCGGGAAGCCTGGGCAAGCCGGCCCTGGACACACCGGGGAAGGCACGGGGAGGCATTTAAATACCTCCCCAATCCTTCCAGCCCCCCTGACCCCCCCGCCTCAGAGTTGCCGGGGGGGGTGTTGCTCTCCAGGCCTTCCCTCTGTAGCCACACATGCAGAGGTTTTGGCTGTAGTGGGCGTGGCCAGCTCTGAAGCCAGCCGGAACTCCGTTCCTGTGCGTTCCTGCCCAAAAATAGCCCTGCTTTTATGCTGTATCCTTGTGCATTTCTCTTTACATCATTGGCTGCTGCTGTTTTGCTGGCTGGTGGCTACTTCTTCAGGTGCTTCTTGGCTAATCCTCTTTTTCTATTTGTGTTCCATAGTGAAGTGCTAAAGACCTATAATGTGGCTATGGATTACCCTACCCTGTTCTTCATCATTTGGAATTTTGGAGCTGTGGGGATGATTTGCATCCACTGGAAGGGGCCCTTGCAGCTCCAGCAAGCCTATCTCATCATGATCAGTGCCTTGATGGCTTTGGTCTTCATTAAATACCTGCCAGAATGGTCAGCCTGGGTCATTCTAGGAGCCATCTCTGTTTATGGTATGTCGGCAGCTGAAAAGCTCTAGGGGTGATTTCTCCTCATCCTTCTCAGGGCATCTCTTTAGCGAAGACAGAGAAGGGACCCAGAGCCAGTCTAAATGCATGTTTGCACCAACAATATTACACATAGTCTGTTTGCATCTGTGTACGTCTGAGAAAGAATTACTGTTTTTTTTCCACATTAAGAGTCCGTTTCCGATTTCAGGATGTTTTGGGGAGGAGGATGGGAGCTCTCTTGCACCAGGGTTATCCACAATTAGAGTTGCCAGCCTCAAGGTGGGACCTGGAGATCTCCCAGAATTACAACCGATCTCCGGACTACGGAGATCAGTTCCCCTGGGGGGGGGGGGGAAATGGCTACATTCGAGGGTGAACTCTGTGGCATTATATCCTGCTGAGGCCTGTCCCTCCCTCCAGTCATGCCTTCCCCAGGCTTCATCCCCAAAGTCCAGGAATTTCCCAACCCATAGTTGGTAACCTATCCACAGTGACCTTCCTTAATAGGTGCCCTTGCTCTCCCTCCTGTCTTCTTCCCTCAAAACTAGGTACATCTTTTAAGAGGGGCATGTATTTTGTGTAATTGATGCAAGTCATCTATTGCTCCTCTTCCCTCACAGTTGGTGTTGGAAAAATTGGCTAAAAAACTTAGATATTCAGAGTTAGCAATGGATCTTTGCTTCACCGGAGAGGAGGCATTTCCTTTTGTGTAAAAATCTTTATTTCTAGAGGAAGGATACACAGGGAAAAGCTACACTGAGGCTGTGTCTCTACAGCTTTACAGACTGACCACACGGTCTCACAGCAACAACTGTGATGGAGATTCTTCTTCTTCTTGACCTCTAGAAGGAAATCACCTGAATACATTAACCAATCAATGTTACTGAACAGGCTTCAGTTTTGCGAGCTTTGTTTGCATTGGCTCCATGCCAGGCTAAACAATAGCACACAAGGTAAAACAGATTAACCCTATAATGACTGAATTAGACCTTGCAACACACACACATTTTCAACAGTTGGCATGTCTGGGGGGCAGGGAACTGCAGCAGGGTGAAAATATAAAAGCTGACGTTTGCGCTCGCGCTCTCTCTCTCTCTCTCTCTCTCTCTCTCTCTCTGTTTTAAATGAATCCAAATCTAGGGTTGCCAAGTCAAATTTTCTTACCGGCGGGGGAGCCTCGCCGGGCTCCGGGAGCCGTTCTTTGATGTGTGCGCACGCCACCACCACATCACCAGAAGTGACACGCGACGTCGATCACGTTGAAGGCGTGGGCCCGATCGTCGGAGGGAAAACCATAGAGTTTTCACTCCGACGATCGGGGCCACGCCCCCAACGTGATTGACGTTGCGTCACCAGACGCAGCCACACTGCGCTTCGGGGGGCGGAGTTCTCCCCGGGGCCCAATTCTGCGGCGGCAGAAATCGGGCCTCCGAAGCCAAATCTGTTGCCTGAGTGGGTTGTCTTTTAAAAACAAAAAAAATGTGTGTCTGTTGGTATGTGCCTGTGTGACTTCTGACGATCCCTAGTGGGGCTAGGACATTTCAAAGAGGCGGCTTGATATTGCCTGCCTTTGCATCCAGGCCCTGGGATTTTTTGGAGATCACCGGTCCAAGTACTTGCCAGAGTCGGCCCTGCTTAGCTTCTGCCATATGATGAGATTGGGCTTGCCTGGGCTATCCAGGTCAGGGCCCTGAGTGGATTGTCTTGTTCTACCTAATGACAGGCCTGGCTTTAAATCTTCTACTTAGCTAGCTGCCTAGCTGATCAATGAGCAACAGCTCACCAAAGTAGGCAAGAAGTCCCCTATGTTAACACGGATTTTTATAAAATGTGTTACTTGTAGATACCTTTTTGAAACTTTCTGGGAAGGACAGCCTACTAGAAGATGGTACAGAAAGAATGTGAAATGCTTCTGACTGATCACCTTTTCTTTTTATTTCTTCCCAGACTTAATGGCTGTTCTGTGTCCAAAAGGACCACTTAGGATGTTGGTGGAAACAGCACAAGAGAGGAATGAGCCAATATTTCCTGCACTTATTTATTCCTGTGAGTAGAACAGGAAGTTCCTCTGTGTGAGTGTGTTCTATCCCCACACCCTAATAGAGGAACTAGTGGTACATTATCAGTCTGATACAGCAGTACAACATCAGAAAAATGGGATGTCAAAATGGTACACTTTTCCTGACAAAAGTATTCCTACAGCTGCACCTACAAACTCAAAATGTGGGGTTTGGCACAGAATTCAGCTTTCTGAAAGCCTCACCTTTAAATAATATATAGATTAAATCTCCAGAGCAGTGAGCCTCCCAAGCCTTGGGTAGCACTAATGGGGCTGTGGAAGCATCTGCTCTTCTTGCTGCAAGTTGGTTTGTGTGCTTTCCCCCCTCTAAAGATAACGTCTTTGTTAATAAGAAAGCCTAAATGGGAAGTTTCAATTTTAATGAAAGAAAAAACCCCCAGAGAAGATACTCTTCAAAAGCCCATTCCTTTTGTCTCCAAAGAGCTGCTTGGTACTAATTTTCAGAATGTGTAGGGGATAATCTACCCACCCTGTCTGTCTTCATTTCTGTGTATGCCCACGGGCACGCACACAATAAATCACAGGACCTCTTTACAACCCTCCATAAACAAACAAAATGGATTCTACAGAAAACAGATGCATGAGCATGTGTGTGTTTGCTGGGGAGGGCAGGTTACAGAATGAAAAATGTAGCTTTGGTATATCAAAATTATGGAGGCTTTGTCTTAGAGAACTTTGATAACTGATGGATTGGGCAGATATTCTGATGGGTCTTTTCTCTTATGTAAAATACAAAAGCACATCTCTTGAGCGTACACAGATATTTGTGATGGTCATTTTTTCCTACTGTTTAGAAAGCCAAAAAAATGGTAGTGAGGCTGTATGAGAATGCTGTCTATAAACTTTGAACAGTTTCTGTATCCTAGTTGTTCAAGTCACTGATTAGAGTCAATTTTCCTCCACAGCTGCTATGATGTGGACGGTAGGCATGGCAAAACCAGATCTGGCACATAGAGGGTCTACTCAGCAAACATGGGACCCAGGTAACCTGTGCTCCTTGAAAGTGTTCTGAACTGCATGGCCTTCTGCAGCGATCCTCTTGCTGGGTGGAAGCTGTTCACATGTGCAGGGAGGCAAGTCTTCCTGTGCGTTAAAATTAACAGGAGTTGTGCAAGGCATGCTGAGCTCTGCTCAAACGATGTGTTAGATTTGGTTCTGTCCTGGGGCTGTTTTTTCAGGAGCAGAACAACAGAGAGAAAGAGTTCTTCCCTCTCCCTCCCCAGCTGTCTTGTCACTGAAAAGTCAATCTATATATTTATTTACTTCGTTGATCGTCCAGCTTTCTTACTGAGACTCAAGGCAGTTTACAGCTAAAAACCAGTGCACTAAGATGAGTATCAGACATACAGCCCACAAAATCAGAAGTACAGCACTAAAAACACAGCATAATAGAGACAATAAAAACACAACATAATTGAGACAGTTCAGACGGGCCGTTTAGTCCGCTTTCGGCTTGCCTCTGAAACGGATTTCATCTGCGCGATCACACAGTCAACATCTGCCTCCCATCCCCAGCCGTCGCTTTCCGGCACAAAACCGCTTTAACCCGGAGTGTTTTGATACCAGGTCCCCAAGTAGTGTTTTCCTGATTCTCCGGTTCCAGCCGCACTTTTCTGACATCTGATCGCTCCTGCAATGTCGAGCCACTTCCGGTTTAAACCGCCTCCCCGCTCGAAAGCTGCCCAAGGCTTCCGCTTTTCGCCTGCCATTTTTTTAAAAGCATTGGCGATGTGCGCATAGGCTATGTTTAAAGGGTGCCTAGTTTTAGTGTTTAGACCAGTTCGGGATCTCACGGAGGCCATTTTCGGGGTAAACGTTTAAAGGGAAGTGTTACAGCAGTCAGGTTGGAGTGGAAATTGCTGTTCTGTGCACACACGGAAATTTTAGTTCTACAGATGGCTGCTTGTGCGCATGCCCAAACTGAGACAGAGAAAAAAACAACACCGGCGCACACTCCTGCGTGTGGACGGCAGGGAGCGATGTGGCTGCGCAGCGATCCGGAGCAAGGAGGTGGTGTGATCGCAATTCTCCAGGTTAAAAAAAAACCGCATTGGGGCCAGAGCAATTTAAACTGCTCCAAGCATGCCGTCTGACCGCACCCAGTATAATCCAAGATACTGTTACTCCTGGAAACAGCTTTGGAATACCTGTACCCATTAGCAACACTCTGCTCATAAATTCTTTTCTTTATAGGATACGTGTAGGAGAAAACATTCTGAAAATTCTACCAAGGCCTGTTTTGGTAGAAAGTGAAGGCTTCATATACTCTTTCCTTGGGGAAGAATTGCACCTTTTGACTAGGCGGGGGGGGGGGACTGTGGGAGAAAGGGGGGTTAAGGAAGGACAGAGCAGGAGTTATTGCATCAGATCTGCACTGGATGCAGCCCAAGGAATGGTGGATTGGTACTGAAGCATGGCTCCTCTAGAGAGAGAAGAGATGAGGGTTTGAGGAAGATTTCGTCCTCTGAAGAATGCTCTCATTTTTTTAAAACAGTAAATTAAGATGCAAATACTGAATGACCTTGAGTGGTTTTTGTCTTCCTCTCACCACCCCGATGCCCCAATCCCACATGATCTGTTTGTGTGGGAAATCAGCTGATGTGCAAGAGAACCATGACAGTTCTTCATACACTGAGCCTGTAATTCCAGAGATGAGAAATTCAGCGACAAACCATCCAGTCACTTCTTCCTTGGAAGAAACAGAGGAGGAAGAAAGTAAGTGAAGCCTTTAGTGTCCTTTTGCAGCTGGTGTTCTATTTTACCGAGCAGTGGTCTAAAGCAGATACTCCCTTTACTCTCTGATGTCCTGAAGGGAGTGAGTTTTAAAGTTCATGCCACTTTGCAGTGATCCTCTTGCTGGGTACATGCAGTCACTGGTCCAAGCTCGATGGAATTGAATGGTAGTTGTGCAAGACAGACTGAGCTCTGCTGTTCCTCTTTCACTCATTAGTCAGAAGCCATCACCCCACAAGCAGACATCACCCCTGAGCCTTATTGATTCAAGTTGGGTAGTCAAGTGTCAGTGTTAAAGTGCAGCTCTGTGCCTATCATGTGGTATGAGTCAATTTCACCATCTGTTCCAAAATGGTTTCTTGGCTTCTGGTTTGCTTCTGGCCTCCATTCCATTCCTTCCCTTCCTTAGCCAGATATGCTAACACAGGACATTTGATTCCCCCCACCTCAAGGTTCCTGAAATTTCATTTGCACTGTCTTTGGTTGGGGTGTGCAGACTCGATGCAATAGCAGTCCCTTGTAAAAGGTGGCTCCTATCAACATGGCTTCCTCCTGAGCCAGTGTCCCATTTTGTGTACTCACACAGACCTTGAGGTGCCTCCCGCCTCCCATCTGCCACTTCAGTGTTCTGACTTGCACCTGTAACAGCATTTGTGACCTGGAGGACAGCCTCTCCTGGGATGAGCTTGCGTACTAGAGCTGCCCTGCTTGCTGTGCCCCTCTGTTTGGCCAGTGCAGTCGTCTATGGCAAGAACGTGTGCCTTCTCAGTGGCAGCTTCACTGATGTGGAATGGGCTGCTGGGGGAAGTATGGAAGGAACTCTCATGACATGGAATTCATCATAAGGCCTGTGCTGACCCTGTCAGTGTTTTCTGTAGTTTAGTAAAAACTGTGCTGTATCTTTAAGACTAGTTGCTCCTGGGAAATGTAGTCTGTGGTCAGGTCTCCGAGAAGCTTCCCTCTGACTGGCTCGCGCGGACAGGACAAGGCCTATAAAGCTGTTGGCTTGTGCAGACTGTGATCTGTCGTGGCTATTGGGGGCTTTAACCTGGCTCCTGAGCTCCTGTTTTTCTTATTGTTGGCATATTGGAGGGAGGGGCTATGGCTAAGTGGCTTGTCCTGTTGGTTTGTATGGAAGTTTGGAAACTTCTCCAAACTGAGGCATGCTTTTTCTGAATTTTATTTAGACACATTCTTCATTTTGTACCCCAGAAGATTAGTCTTCGTGTGTCTGAGGGAATTGCCTCAGGGAGCTGTTATAGGCATGCCTGTCCTGAGGACAGATGATAGTATTGCTTTTTGGTAATGGGAGCAAATGGATACCAAGCACATCTAGTGCTGTGATGGGGCAGGGCAGTCTGCTCCCTGTGGGGGCTGATTGAAAGAAGGCAAGACCAGACCGGTGAATCACGCAGAGTGATTCCCCTGTGGCTGAGTATTTCAATCAAAGAGGTGCTTTTGCTTATTTAATGTATTTCTCTCCAGCTCCCACACAGCATGAAGCTACTGTTTTTCTATTGTCAGGATAGTCTGGTTAAACCAGTGTATTTCAATGTGGGAATGGGGCCTGGTTCCATGCACTTATAGGTAGCTTTGAGCAAGTCCTGGCTCTTTGCTTCATACCCCCCCCCCCTTTTGCTTTGTTTCTTAGGGGGTTTGATTTTTTTGTCTTATCCACCTTTCTTATTGAGACTTACAGTGTACCATAAATATAGTGATTGGTCAATTAATTGATTTTTGGAAAATAACACCCCCACCCCCACCTTGTAGAGAATGGCTTCAGCAGGGAACTAGGGCAGAGAAAATGATGTATTCATGGGTGGAACTGGGGAAAGGTCTGGATTTCCTGTCCACACAGCAGCCCCCCTGAGTTTGCTGCAGTCTTTCCAAAAAGGTCATACTAAAACAAGGTTTGGAGACATGACAGAAAAGCCAGGAAAAGGGCTGCAAGGTGCTGTGTGGAAGCAAGAGCAAACCTGCTTCCAATCATCTGCAAAGCCAAACCAAATAGCCAGTGTGGAATTGACCTTGGACTATATATCCACTTGCCTCTCCTGCCTCCAACATAAGCGTGTTCCTCCAACACTCCTCACTGCATGGCTTTCTTGTTAATTTTGCCTGCCTCATCTGGTATGGATCTTCCCTGATATATATATATTTTTTATATATATATATATATATATATTTTAAAAGAAGGGACTGAAAAACAACTCATGACAGACAAGAAGCAAGGGGAAAGTGTTTTGTGTATGCGTGTTGATTTTAAATGTCTTTCAATAGGAGGTGTCAAGTTAGGCCTCGGAGACTTCATATTCTACAGCGTCCTTGTGGGGAAAGCAGCGGCCACTGCTAGCGGTGACTGGAATACAACTTTGGCTTGCTTCGTAGCCATCCTCATAGTAAGGAGAATTGTAAAATTTACATGTTACTCATTGACATGTTGCCAGAGTGGTGTAATGATTAGAGTAGTGCTTGTCAAAAGCTTTTACTGGTTCTTTAAGGGTGACAGGTTGGTCCAGAAGAAAACCACACAGTGCAGAGGCGCAAAGCCTCACAGCCCCAGTATAACATTACCACCAGTCCCCTTAACTAACCCGCCAGCCAGAAACCAAGGGGCTAAGTCTCTCCTGGGTCTGAAATCAAGAAGTCAGCCCTATGAGGTTGCCAGTTGAGTTCCAGAAAACAGTTATTCTGGTAGCTGTAGCCAGTAAGGGTTAAAGTACTGGATTCAGACTGAAGCCGAAGGGTTAAAGTACTGGATTCAGACTGAACCCGAACCCAAGAACACCACATAGTATAATTAATGAGATGTATTAAAATACAATGTATATGTGCAGTGAACAGTGAGGATAAAATAACAAAGATAAATATTTAACCTAAGCACATTTACATGCATTGGTTCTCTAGATCAGATGTCACCTGACAAGACTTGAGTTCAACAAAGTTTCAAAGTCCAAAACAGGGGCTCTGGCTAGCATGGCCCACCCAAAATCAAGGTGTCCCAGGCAAAAGGCAAAACTAGAATGAAATATCTTTCCCTTATGGCCAATGGCCCGTGTTGGCATGATTCTAGTTGACCAGTTAAATGTATCGTGAATGGTGTAGTTTGACTGCTCGTGTTGCTAACTAGATCACCCAGCTAATCAGGTGAGTTGCCATAATGAGACCATATACTCTGCAGCCAGACAAGGCCTAATCAACCTTCTCCCACTCTCAGGCCCTCACACTAACAAGGTGGAATGCATAGGCCAAACTTCCTCCTGGATTCTTTGGCCTTGAAACCGGCACTTGTGTCAGCCTCCTTATCTCACTTGGTTGGTTTTTATACCTGTTTGAAAATAGCTGCCTCCCTCAGAGGAGAATGCTTGACTTGGAACCTTCCAGAACTTCATGACTGGCCTCAGCAAACCAGGAGAGCTTTTCTGTGTTCAAGGTTGTGCTCCTCACAGCAGCCACATTATGATGGCACCATTTAGTACTTAAAATTCAAAAACTTCTCACAGGACCAAAAAGGCTAGGGACCCCAGATCAGAGTGTGGAACCCAGGACAAGGGTGACCTGGGTTCAGTCCCCAGTAAGCCCTGAAACTCATTGGGTGACCTTGGGCCAGTTACAGCCTCTTGGTCCCACCTACCTCACAGGATTCTTGGGAGGATAAAAGGGGAAGGGGCAGGGGACAAATTCACTGCTCTAAGCTTCTTGAAGGAAATGTCAGAACAGCAAAGTGACTGAGCCATAACATCTCCAAAAGAGGACTGGAGGAAGGATGCAGACAGGGAAGCTGGCAGGTTTGGAAGGCAGGGAGAACTCAAGGATTGATGGGCCATGAGAAGGAGGGCAGGAAGGGTTGCCTCAGTGCTTAGTTCTTGTGGTCCTCCCTTACACGCCCAGGGAAACGCTGATCACCCCTTTGGGGTCAGGAAGCAGTTTTCTCCAGGCCAGTTTGGTTGGAGATCCTGGAGGGTTTTTGTCATCCTCTGGGGGCATGGAACAGTGGTCACTGGGGGTGTGGAGGGGGAGGTATTTGTGAATTTCCTGCATTGGGCATGGGGTTGGACTAGATGACCCTGGAGATCCCTTCCACCTCTATGATTCTATGCCCTAGAGAAACACCTGGAATGGTGAGGCCTGGCCAACCCTCCTCCTGTCATACCCCCATGTCCTTTTGTTATCCAGCTCTTCCTACTGCCACTGTTTTGGAGCAGGCATTTTTCCACCTAGCCTTGTCTAGAGAACATAGTTTATTGCTCTAGGGCTGCTGTGGAGAGGCTTGTTGTATTAATTATTGGCTGGCTGAACTTGAGGTGTTATCTTGTCTGACCTGTAAATGCTCTAGAACAGGTACATGGGTCCATGTTGACCTTTCTCTGGGACATTTTCATTTTTATAACAAAAGGTTTTGTCCTGGCTTGCTTGTATTTCTGGGGTGCATTGTGCTTAGAAAAGCAAATTGAGATTCAGCTCATCTGAGCCAACGGGCTGGGATTAAATGCCTTATGCATCCAGTATGTGCAATTTAGTATTTATACATTGCTTTTATTTGTAAGGAAACACTCTGCAGGAAGCCAGGCTGTGACCATTTTCCTTTTCCTTGCAGGGTTTGTGCTTAACTCTTTTATTGCTGGCTGTCTTCAAGAAAGCATTACCTGCTCTCCCTATCTCCATCACTTTTGGCCTGATCTTCTACTTCTCAACAGACAACCTTGTGCGACCTTTCATGGACACACTTGCGTCTCACCAGTTGTATATTTAAAAATGGAGGGGAGAAGGAAGAGATGCCGAAGGGATCCTCCTCGGAAATCTTGCTGTGCAACAGGACAATCTTAAATGGATGAAATTCCTGCAAGTTTTACACTTAGTGCCATATACTTTTTCAGGAAATTTTTAAAAGCAAATCTGTGAGCCTCACTGAAACTTGACAGCCAGGCCTTTCAAATGCCAGTGCTGAAAGTCCTCGCTGCGGCCTTGATGCTAGAGCTGTTCACTTAGAGTTGAGACCCTCTAAGTTCAGTATGGCTTTCTCCCAAGTCACTCTGCACAGGATTGCAGACCTTGAGGTTCTTGGGCCTTTTTAAGCTGATGTCAGAGCAGAACAGGATTGGGTTTTGATGAGAGTATCTCTTGTCGCATACAGACAGCATGCCCACAGAGAGCTTATCTTGGGACATGAATGAAAAGGTTGAAAGTTGTTTGCAGCTGTACTGGTCCAAAATCCAAAAACAAGCCACAGGCCACATAATACCTTTATTGAGATGACGTATAATGATAGAAGAGTGTGTGCGGCCTTTCGCTTTTGCCAGAACTCTTCCTCAGGCTAGATGTTACAATTTTTTTTAAAAGCTTTCTTTCATAGCATCTCTGTGAGCATAGTATTGGAGATCTGCAATCTCCCCCCCCCCCCGAAGGAAATAAGACTGTGAACTGCGGTTAGTGTAATGGCTCATAGCGAGCTTGCATGGGAGCTTCTTGCACACTTTAGGACACAACCGGCTGCTTTCCTGATGTACCTTATGGGAGCAAGCGAATCACAGAGAAGAAGTAAAGTGTGATAGGCCCCAGCGCCCATGCCAAGTAGCAGCATGTCAACCCAGTTTGCTTGGCACACACGTCTGGTTCTTTGGCCAAGGGGCTGGCAGTACCAGCTATGGGTTGGTTCATTCCCAGTGCATCTCGTCAAGTACATTCCTCATATCATCTGTCTCCCCACCCTTTGTTTGCTATCGTACCAATATCTTCCAGTAGACAGTACAATGGGGCGGGGGGCATTTGGGCCAGCAAGGTTGCCTCCCACTGGCATGCAGCATATTTTTCAGTTCTTAGCAGAGGGCCCCGTGGAAAGAGGAAAAGCTGTCGTTAATGGTGGATTGCCCCACAGCTCCCTTTCTCCTCTGATAATGAGTCCAGAAACTGGCACACGCATGGCGTCATGTGTTGCCCTGTTTGGAGTGGGTTGGTAAGAGGAGATGGATGGAAGCTGTTGGGGATCCCTAGCAGCTGGCCACGAGTCCCCTGGAGACCTATGTCACATTTTGCTTTGCATGCCCTCTTTGACAAGAGCCATCTGGATCACTGCAATATAATGAGAATATATATGATATTGCTTTGGTTTGTATTCATTTGGCGGGCGATCCATGTCCCAGGTCAGAAAAACTGGGGTGTGTGTATACACATATGCAAGCAATCTGTGCATAAGTACGCATGCATAACATGATGTATGATCTGAAAGTACTTTGGAGAGAACTGGAGGTGCTGTTTTATGACCTAATTATCTCTTGTGGCCTGGGGATAGACTTGATCATGACACTGCATATTTGGTGGATAGTAATGCATTAAAAGGCTTAGATCACCAGCCTTATGTGTGTGGAGGAAGGTGTGACTTGCTGTTCTTCATGACAGAGAGAGGATCACTGACTGGCTGAGAGTATGAACCTTTTCCTTTTCACTCCCAGTGAGTGGGAAATGGAGCGGTGGTGTCTACCCAACTGTTGTTGGGAGACAGAGGTAGGACTAAGTCTTGACAAGAAATTTCTTAACTTACTATAATGTACTGTCTTAGAATGGAAACACGTTGTCTTCGAGCACATACAATGTTTTATTTTGTCAGGCCACAAATTCCTTTTTGATTCCACTGATGATCATGTCATTGTATGCATGTCTCTTCTGCTCAAAATTGGCTGAAGAAATGCATTTTGGTTATGAGGGGAAACTGTAATAGAACTTGCTGCATCAGCATATTTTCTTTCCCTCTCAGTATTCAAAACAATGATCATGCTTTTTGGAGAGTGGCTATAATATTGATAAAATGTAAGCACCTGAGCCTACTGCTAGCCATAGCATGAATTTGTGGTTAAAAACCAAATCAGGACCCTAAAGGTTTGGGTTTCTTCACTCTAGGAGGATGTGGCACATGCAGTCTCTGTGCTAAACCTCAAATAGCACAATGAAAAAAAGACCTCTAAAACATAGCTTTCTACTTTTGGATTTACTCTTCTAACTTATATAAACCATTTCCTCTCTGCTTCATAAATAAATGCTATATGCTTCTTAGCCAAAAATTCTTAGGTTTGATTTTCCTATTTTTTGCAATGTTCAAAGTTGTTTTTTAAATGTCTGGCTTAGAAATACTGTGTAAATATTTAATGTAAAAGTGAATTATTTTGGAAATATTATCGTTTGTGTCCGAATGTATACAGCCGATTCAAAGCTGAACCTCTACATTAATCTAAGTGAGTAATAATTGATGCTCCAAATATTTCAAGGTTAGAATGACTCTCAAAATGCCTCCTCTCTTCTTGCCAGCAAATACTTTGTTTCTCATTTAGACAGCCTCCATGGATATCTGTTGTCTTAGCTCCTGTTCTGAGAAGCGATCTCCTTCCCAAAACCTCTGAGAATTGTGTTCTCCTGTCCAATTGAAATTAAGGGTCTAATAAACAGATACAGCAAGATCAGGGAACAAACCTCTGTCTTCTCTTGAGGACCCATCTACTGGAAAGTCCATCTGTGCAAGCCCCAATGAAATTAATGTAACCGGGCTTGGAAAGGAAAGCTTCACTGTCGCTAGATTTTTCTCCAGCTTCTTTTACGCAGCCCTGCTTTGCCTTTTATTCTTTGGAGGTCTGTCTCCCATTCAAATAATAGCCAGAGCCAACCCTGCTTAACTCCTGAGATCTGATGAGATCAGGCTAGCCTGGGCTATCCACGTCAGGGCACCTTGCACTTTGACCTAACATAAACCATGGTTTTAGTTTTTTTCAAAGATATTTTAATGAAGTTTAAATATGCTGACAGTTGTGGACGCTTCCACTGTTTTCCTCCCCAAGTAATCCTTTCCAACTCCAGGAAGGTTTAAACATATGCTGGATTGAACCAGGCGTCTACCTAGTCCAGCACCTTGTGTCATGCAGTGGCCAACCTGTTGTCCTGGAGAGCCTGGAAGTCTATTCCGGGGGTCATGGGTCCTGTATAATCTAACAACCACATGGGTAGGGAGGCATCTGTTCATTTAAAAGAGCTGTTTCTCAGTGCTTCAGGATCAAGAATGAAGTGGTTCTTGAAAGTATTCCATATTTGTTTATTCTGTAGAAGGAATGCTGGGCCAGACCAAAATGTTCTGCTGCTTATGGTAGAAAAATCCAGATGGCACTTCATAAATGTTAATCCACACAAAAGATTGTGTGGATTAACATTTATGAAGTACATAACTCCAGTTTGGAAGTACAACTCCATGAAGTACGTAACTCCAGTTTATGAAGTACAAAACTCCAGTTTATGAAGTACAACTCTATGAAGTACATAACTCCAGTTTATGAAGTACATAACTCCGGTTTATGAAGTACATAACTCCAGTTTATGAAGTACAACTCCAGTTTGGTGTAGTGGTTAAGTGCGCAGACTTTAATCTGGGAGAACCGGGTTTGATTCCCCACTCCTGCACCTGGGCAAGCCATAGTTCTGTCAGAGCTGTTCTGGAAACAGCAGTTCTCGAAAGAGCTTTCTCAGCCCCACCTACCTCACAGGGTGTCTGTTCTGGGGAGGGGAAGGGAAAGGAGATTGTAAGCAGCTGTGAGGCTCCAAGTGAAGGGCAGGGTATAAATCCAATCTCTTCTTCCTCTTCCTCCTCCTCCTCCATTGGGGCTTGTGCAAAAGGACTTCCGGGTAGATCTCATGATGATGATGGAAATGCAGCGGAAATCAAGACCAAGAGTACAGCATACACAGGTCACCAGTGTACACTCATAGACTAGAAGGTATTTCTATGCAACTCAGTATCAGTTAAGTAATCTAAGGCAAAAATCCATCGAACAGTGCTGCTGCACAGCTTTTGCTGACTTCAGGAGGACTTGGTTGGGGTTCTGGAGACCTTCTTAGGAAGTAGAACGTACTGCATGGGAGATCATCCCTTGTGAATTAATGAAGGAAATATAAACAATTATGTAGCTCTGGACATGGGGTGTGTCTAGTTTACAGGGAAAAAAATCAAGCTTTTGAATGTAGTTTTTAACAGGTCAGTTTTCATGATGAATGTTGTCGTGTGTGTTGGGAGAGTGAGCTGAATATGTACTGGCTATGTAATGAAAATGCTTCTAATAAAGTATAAAATGCATCCAGTGTATGTACTGCAAGTGTAATGTGTACAATTAAAAAAGACGTTGATTGTAAAAATAGTGAGTTCTTTTCTGGAATGTAAATATCTCTTGAATAGATTATTGTTTGAATGGCTATGTTGTGGTGATTTGGATAGCCGTTGTGAATACAATGGGAAGTTGGGACTGCTTTGGATACATCTGAGTCTGATCTGTTAGGCAACAGAGGAGATGTGATACACCAGGTGGGCATGGGGAACAGAGGCCGAGGGAAGTTGAATGGCTCCAAAGTGCAGCTTCCTTCTGCAAGGGAGCAGAAAGGCAGACAGTGAAAAAAGTGCCAACAGTATAACAAGCAAACCTAGAGCCCCACCCATCACCCTCCCTCCCCCTTGTAGATATGTGGAGGCAAACTATTTGAGGCTGGAAGGAATTTTGAGTGGTAGTAAAAATCTCAGTCATTCCCATGTGTAATGGAAGGCTAAACGAATGACTAAGTTTTAGAACTCTCATCTTAAAAGCCAGGCAGGATTGTGGCCCAAACCTTTTAGTTTGCTTTGGTTTTGCAATATGCAAGAAGGTCAAGATGCATGCATATGTTGTGATGTTCACATCTGTAGAACTTTTATAAAAAAGGTAAAGGTTCCTTTGCTCAAAAGCCAGTCGAATCCGACTCTAGGGTTGCGGTGCTCATCTCCGTTTCAAAGCCGAAGAGCCAGCGCTATCCGAAGACATTTCCGTGGTCATGTGGCCAGCATGACTAAACACCAAGGCGCACAGAACGCTGTTCCCTTCCCACCGAAGCGGTACCTCTTTATCTACTTGCAATTTCTTGCTTTCGAACTGCTAGGTTGGCAGGAGCTGGAACTAGAGACGGGAGCTCACTCCGTCATTCAGCACACTCGGTCTCGAACTGTTGAACTACCGACCTTCCGCAGCCTGCAGTTCAGCGTCTTAACCACTTGAGCCACCGCAGCTCCTAAACGAGTTTCACCCTTCTAAGACCATTGACTTCAACAGACACACAAGGGTGTGACTGTATTTAGGACTGCACAGTAAAAGGCTATATAAACCTCATTCTTCACAACAGTCTTGGGAGGGAAGTCATTCTGCTGTTTTAGGAAAAAGGTGTTAAGGCTGAGAGTTAGAACACACCTATGAAGGATTGTGGACACTTTTCCCACTTAGCTTTTGTGGAGAAAAGAAGGATTATAGGATAATGAGCTGCGTATAAATAATTGTTTCCTCCCCTACTCTGTGTTCTAATATGTGTTAATAACTTAAATAACAAAACTGAGGCAGGTGATTAGGCTGTGATCCTATGTGTCCATGACTGGTAATGGTAATCAGCTTCTTGACTGGTAGTATTGGATGGTGGCTGAATTAAAATGTCCTGGGAGGAGAGTTACTCTACAACAGATGATGGATTCTGTGGAATGTTCCCTTGCGTTTCTGTGAGTGAGACAATTGGTTCCCAGCACTGAATGTTCCCACATTATGCTAATGATGAGCTTCTCAAAGCTACAGGTGTGTGTAAATGCTGTTCTCTAAGGCATGATGTAGACACGCCTCTATTTTGGGACAGGGCGCTCTATTTAGCTACTGTCTCCTCCAGTATTTAGTGATAGGTAACAACATGATCTACTTCTAGCAGTTTATTTGTTCTCTGTTCATGCTACTCTTCCCCCCCCTTTGAATAATGGTGAAAGGCACACTGCATGAGAGTGGATCTCTGAGATATATGAAAAGTTTTTCTTTAATGTAGCCCTAGCCCATATAACCTTGATTAGACAATGATTCCGAGTCTGAAGGCATTCAGACCTCCCCCCCCCATTTTTTCCCCCCCCCCCCCCCCACTAAGCAGGTGTTAATCTTATGGGGATATTCCCTCCCGCACACACACAGCATGATGGTAGCTGGACCTTCTGCTGGGCAACTATACATCAGGGAAATGGTGCAAGGAGAGAGTTAACTCCCCCTCCCCCCACCATTGTCCCAGGGTCTCATATGATGCTGCTCTGCCTCCCAAGTTAGAAAACATTTGCTATTATTTGCAAGAACAGAGGAATGGAATTTCCAGTGTCTGCCACTGGCGATAGATCAAGATGGGTAGCTGCGTTAGCCTGTCTGTAGCAGTAGGAAAGAGTCCAGTCTGAAGACGTGAGCAGTGACTCACGAAAGCTCCTACCCTGCCACAAATTTTGTTAGTCTATCTATAAGGACTGCTACTGGACTCTTAGGCCCAGTCTGCATCTAGCATTTGCTCCGCTGTTTTACCAAACCCACACTGGAACAGAAAGAGATGCGGCTCAAAACAGCATTCAAATACCCCGGGCCAACACCGTACTGACTGCATATTCACCCCTGAACGGCCATAAAATGGCTATAAATCTCTGCAGATGGCTACCATAAAACCGAGAGATCAAACGAAGTGAAAACGGCATGCAGTCTGAACACTGCTATAAAATCCGACAATCAATCAAAGTGAAAGTGGCATGCAATGTAGAGGGGAATTTCTATTTCAGCAGTGGGCTTGGTAAAACAGTGGAGCAATGCTAGATGTAGATTGGGCCTTACTCTTTTCTACTGCCACTAGAGAGCAGTGTGGTGCCTTCAGTGTTCCCTCCTTAAACTTCAAAGCATTATGCAAACCATACTTGGTTTCATTTTTAAGGCACAATGTGCTTCCATGAGTAGCATTGTGATCCACGTGTGGTGGTCGAGATGGCAATGCACTTCAGTGTGCAATGCAGTTGCACACATGGGAGACAAAAGCCCAAGTCGTACATTGCCTTTGTAACACCTGAATTTATCCTGTAGTACATGAATTTGGCAAGGCTAATCCTTATCACTTTTCTAGGTATGGAACAAGACGTCCCGTAACAATGTGCTCAATGCAGGCAAGACATTGCAGTGTTTTCTATGCAATAACAAAGCACTGTGTCACTTAGGAGTTGTGAATTACTTTGTGACCTAGAACTTAAACGTTCCCTCAGCTACACTATATCTCATCTTCAGGCAAAAAAGTAGACACAAAAAGAGGACCATGTGTTTCGTTTTGTTTTGGGGTTTTTTTTGCAACACATACAAGTATAGAAAATGGGAAGTAATAGGGATTGGTTCAAAATGTGCAAGCTGAGTAGCATTAATGTATCCCTAGGTTGCTCTATTAGGAAATCTTGGTGCTGCTGTATGGGCATACGTAAAGGTAAAGGTTCCCTTGCTCGAAAGCCAGTCGAATCCGACTCTGAGGTTGCAGTGCTCATCTCCGTTTCAAAGCCGAAGAGCCAGCGCTGTCTGAAGACATTTCCGTGGTCATGTGGCCAGCACGACTAAATACCAAGGCGCACGGAAGGCTGTTACCTTCCCACTGAAGTGGTACCTATTTATCTACTTGCAATTTCTTGCTTTCAAACTGCTAGGTTGGCAGGAGCTGGAACTAGAGACGGGAGCTCACTCCGTCATGCGGCACACTCGGGTCTCGAACTGCTGAACTACCGACCTTCCACAGCCTGCAGTTCAGCGTCTTAACCACTTGAGCCACTGCAGCTCCTGTATGGGCATACTTAAAGCTAAACTGGTGCAAAGGCAAATTACCCAGGGCAAAGCTCCCCACCCTCCAGAAAATCAGAGTTGAAATGATGCCCTGTCCCTAAATATTTAGCAGGAGCTGGAGGCTGCATATATTCATTGTTGTTGTTTTTATGATGCCAGCAAATATGTAGAAGCAAGTTTCTCAATGCCAGTGCAGACAGTTAGGAAGAAAGTAAGTGAACAGCCTTGTGCCGGAAGAAGGTGGGAATTGGACTCACGTGACCCAAACTCCAGGCATTCTCCTTCCAACCTCACCCCACCCCTTCCTCAAGGTTCTCATAACATGCAAGGGAGACTGCTAACCCTCAGCCTTCATGTGTGTTATGTAGTGAAAGGTGGGGTATAAATTCAATCTCTTCTAATGTATCCTGCGCAATTTCATCAGGGGTGGAAAAAGAGTACTTTTGAGCATGCACAGAACGGCCTTCCCTTACCCTTCAATAAATTCTAGCCAGCCACAAACTGGAATGGGAAATAGCTCTCAGTTAAGAAGTTAATGGCAGATTCTTAGCCCAGATTGAGTTATTTCACCTCTTCTCTTTGGAAAGAAGTAGTACATGGCTTTTAGTCTGAAGTTTGTGTGTAGCATCAGACTGCCCTTTCCCTCTTCCATTCTTCCCAGTGTGGTGCTTGTTTTATCAAATGTTTTTCCCTCTTGATATGCATTCTATTTGGACACTGGTGGGGCCTTGCCCTGGAGAATATGCACGATGATCAGGCCCATTGTTGCTACGAC